ATAAGAAAAAGCTTAAAATATTTTAGAATATCGTTGCAAGTAAAATACTTCGGGTAAATATAAACAATTACATATTCCATAATTTTTGTTTATTTAAAATAATAATACCAGAATGTGTTGAAAAATTATGCTTTTCATCGTATCTGTTAATAATTTTTAATATCTTTTCTTTTATGTATTTTATACAATGATTTATTTGATAATAAATAGAAAGTAATTTATTCTCGTTTAAATCTCTGTTATAATTTAATTAGACTATCATAAAATAACACTGTAAGATTAAATCATAAATATTTAACCATAAATATTGAAATAGCATTTGTTTAACATTAAAATTTAAATATGGCTAAATATAAATATTTGTTATAGCAAATTACTACTTTGAATTTAAACATTTTACGGTTAAATATTATTTACCAAGTTGATATTTAAGCATTAAATAGATTGGCATCTGTTAGTGTCTATTGCATTAAAACTTTTTTTTAGAAAAATTTGACAGTATCGTCGATTATTGTTAGATCGAACTTATTGTTAGATAATTTCTATTTTCTTCTTGCAACATAATAAATGAAAACAGAATAAGACGATAAGTCAGAACGAATAGCACGTGCAATGATACGAAATACAAATAAATTGAAAAAAGGCGAGAAAGTAGGGCTGCGCTAAAGACTGTGTGTAAAGGAGCAGATATCGTAAAAGTCATAGAAGTCAGTTCTTAGTTTGTAGGCCAAACTGTGGGAACTGTATCAAAATGCACTTTATTTTTATACATTTATTCGTAGTTTGCAGTTGTAAAATTTACAATTACGAATACCAACCTCTATGAACATGAATTGTAATATTACTTTTTCAATATTTTGTGTATTTCAATAATATTTTGCGAGTGCAAATTATCTTTACTTTTTTTTTTCTTGAGATTAAAGTATTGAAATGTTTAAAGGTATAAATATGAATAACGTATACAACGTTAAATGACATTTAAACAAAAATTAAAAATAAAAGCTTAATATAAACTTATATCTCTGGTATTCAAAATATTAAAAAGGTTTAATACATTTTATTAGATAAATATTATTCGATTTATAATTAATTTACCTCATTCTTTAAAATTAAAAATTAAATACATAAATTTAATCTCATTCTTTGAAACTCACGTATTGACTAGTTCAAAAACTATGTAGTGAAAAAAAAATTTCTAAACACATTTGTTTAGAAATATTACATTATATTGAATAAAATTATGAAAATTGAAGACATAATTTCATGTTTAGAATTTGTTAAATGCAATGGTGAAGAATTGAATGAGAACTATATATGCAGGCACTTCATCGAAAAATTTTTAATGTATTGAATTGTACGCTTGAATTTCGTAGCGCGTCATACATACATAGGTAGTTTATGTAATGGTTTATAAAGAAATTTATAAATTAAGTGATTGTATAATCAAGATTCATTAAGTGGTAATGACAAAAGATAATTTACATAACTGAAATATTTTGGCAAGAGAACAAACACTTAAAACTAAAAGTGATATCAATAAAGAAATAGATTTGAGGTTATGTAGTAACGAAAAAAGGAATGAGCACAAACAATGAATACCGATGAAAATTGTCAAAATTACACTGAAAAAAAGTACATAAGATTTAAAGATCTTAGATCAGTAAAACAACCTGACATACATGGTGATAAAGTTCAAGATCTAAAGGATCAGTTAAATGATGGAAAACATCAACAAAAAAAACAAGGTAATTATTCTTTTAACTGTCACTTGTTCTGTGAATTGTTGATAACGTATATGAAATTATAAATTTACAATAATATATACGAATATGTTAGTACTAGGGAAATATGTATTTTAGAATTACTAAAAATTTGAAAATTACTTATTGTTTAAACTTTGAAATGTATTTTATTCCAATGATTTACATTTTGTATATTTATTAAACTTGTATCTTCTATGTAAGATAACAAGGTATATTGAAACTACATAAAATTTATTAACAAGTGTAATAATGCTTTCTTAAATTAATTACAATATAACATAGATTTACATAAATATAACAATAAGTGATGGCAAGGTTAACATATTCTGTGGTGACTAGTCAATTTGTACATGATATAAGAAGTTGCCAATGAATTAATATGTCAAAAAATACTTTTTCTTCTCTCTGTCAGAGAATAAATTCATTTGAATTTAACATAGTACAACATTTTTAAAAGGGGACAATAATAATATAATTATAGCTATCCCATTTGTTTCTATAATATTTGTTATTGTATTTATCACTTGTTAAATAATACTGAGATTTGAAAAATAAACTATTCTTGTTTATACAGTTTTGATTAATAGTAAATGTAACTTTTCAATGTGGTTATAGGTGTGTCTCTTATGCAATTTTTGCGAACCGAGTTAACAAGAGGTTATCAATTAGAAAATGACGAAGAAAGGTTTTCTGCAAGAAGAGAGAAGATTTACTCTTTTATGAAAATTCCAAGAGAAGTTGAAAAATTTATGATATATGGATTTTTGCAAGTATGTATAATTCCTTAAATGTTTTAGTTAATCATAGTAAGTTTAGTTTGCTGCTTTTATTATGTAATTTTTTGTTGTGAAGAAAAATGTAGTAGATTCCAATTATTTTTATACTTTTACTATTAAGAATGCAATTTATCTTAATCATAAAATGAAATCAAGTATTTTTGTCACAAAATATTATTGTAAACTTTGATAGTAAATATTAAGTTGTACTACTTTTTAATTCAGAATCTAATAACTTTCTTATCTTTTTGAATACATTTTGATATCAAAAGTATTATGATAATGTAAGTGAACATTACTTGAGTAACATAGGTAAAACAGTTGTAAATTTATTTAAAATTAAGTATACGTATCTATAAATAGAATGTAAAACAGAAAAAATTTTCTGTTACAGTGTGTAGACTCTTTTCTGTTTGTTTATACATTTTTACCATTAAGATTTATGATGGCACTATGGACAGTAGTAACAAGACCTCTTCGGTACTGTTTAGGGTAAGTTTACATTGTAAGTTTAATGTATATTTGATGTAATATCACAGATGAGGTACAAAATAGACCTATCACCATTATGGGACTTGGTGTTACATGTATAGAAGTACCAACCTAGAAAACTGAATCGTCCTTTTGACAATATTTATATTTTTTTTTTATCGTAAATAATAAGTGTGAGATGTTTGTATGGAGACATTTTTCCGAATACGTTCGACTGGCTATCATCATTCTGTCCTTCGTAGGCGACTGAAACAAATGGTTAAAAGAAAATTTTATTCAGTAAGAACATAGCTATTGTCTAAACCAAAATCATACGTTAAAATTAATTTTTTAGCAAAGTGGCGCCACGTTAAATAAAAAAGTCCGTTTCTTTCCTTTAATTATGAGCTTAATTTATTAATTAGAAAAGAAATTTTGCAAATATTTTTAAATTTTGGTTTAGACGAGAATGACGACATTTCAGATTATCTACGCAAAATTTCTCACCATTATGAAGATATTATGGCAGCTATTTTGTAAAACATGGTTTTAAGAAAATAGCGTTTAAAGTTTTGCTTTAAGTTTAGATACAGTAAAGAGAAATTAGATGCACTTACATTCAATCAGCAATACCTGCACCATACAGCGCTCCTTCCTCTTCTTCAATAAGTTCAAACTGTTTGTTCATATCTGTCAGTAATTCGAGCGTTTTTTTGTTACGTCTGACTTGCGCTACTCAGATCTGTTCTGATGCACCTCAGCCTCGTTATTGATAAAATTCTTTGTTTCGAGGTCAATTTTGATTCTTATTGTGCCCATCATTTCTAAAGTAGAGCTCAATCCTTTATTAAATATAGAAACAGCCAGAAATGTTGTAATCTGAATTGTTATCAGTCTGGAACGCATGTACTTCGAAGCAAAATTCAAGAAACGATGCTTTCTAAACTGGTTGCATGATTTTCTCGGCCAATTTCAAACAAATCAACTTCTACTTTTACAAATTTGTTCTACATAAAAATGTCTTCAGTTAAGTGTACGAAATTCTTTTTTAAATAATAGTTGCTATATTTTTCACATCAAAATATATTTGTTTTTTGCTGAAATTTTCAAATTTTATGTTTCAACCTTTGCCATTTTTCTAAAATTTATTATATTTAAATTTCCGTACGCTTAATTGAAACTACATTAATATAGATTAAAAAAATGTCGTAATTTTTTTTCTCAGATCAACTCGACGAGAATAAAGTGTGCAACCAGTAGGCCACGTTTTTCGCGCAGCACTCTATAATGTGGTTAAATATGTATATTTTGTTACTAAAAAATTCTTAAATATTGTCCAATGTATGTACATTCGAATCCCTCATCAATAACATTTCTACGAAGTATGTGTCTCAAAAATAATTCACAAAAAGCATGCTTTTTTTCGGGCTTCAAAGTGTTATTCCTCGTTAAGTTATTGAGCGTGTGAGGTACGAATTACCAAAAATTCTAACAAAACAATTCTAGCGATCCCGCCAGGATGTACTTTGACACGTGCAAGCGGTAAACGACAATCCTGAACTGAAAAATAGCCTTCCTTTGCGTGTAGTGCCATAAACCGTTTTTAACTTTTCCCATCTGATATGAAGCAATTGAACTTGGATTCGTCAGTGAAAAGAATTTCAGCCCATTGTTCTCTTATGCAGAGAAGATGCTCTTCAGCAAAAGCTAGTCTTGCTTTATGATTCTTTTTGCTTATGAAAGGTATTTTTCAGAATTCAATTAAACAGTGCCGAATAGTATGTAAGATGAAATAGTCAAAGGCGTTTAAAACGATCGCTGAAATAACCCGGTATTCCGCTGGTAATAGTCGGTAATTTATGTGTCACTTCAGCCCCTTTTCCCGTTTTTATATGTTCCCTTCAGCCGTTGGGACCGTTCAAGCCTTCGGGTGGGGGTGTAGCCTGCAGTCATCCTTGTTTTAACCCTTTCGCGACGGCGGAACTAGTCATCGGTACGCCGCTAATGAATGGGTCGTCGTGTCATTAGTGCACACCGTACACGTTAAGCGTTTCTCGCATTTTTCGAGCTCCGTGCAAAATCTTAGGAGGATTTCGTTGGACTTTTCTCGTGTCAAGAACTTTTTCTTCTGCGCTAGTTAAATGTGTGATGTCCAATTCGCGTATCGTTACTGCAACTGTCGCTGGCCAATGCGACGTGTTTAGTGGATGCCGGATATAACCGGCGCTGTACATCGTTCAAAATAAGAGTAACCTCGTTTCGCGCATGGGACGTGCCTAAGGCAGGGCTAGAACGTCCAAACCCCCCACTTAACCGCCTACGTTTTTCTCCGTCTTACCCTCTGCTACGCTCTCTGTCTACGCGCAGAACGGACGAGAATCGGTCCGAGAGCGAGGTTACTCTTATTTTGAACGATGTATAGTCGCGAAAGGGTTAAGGCCCCCTGCGGCTTGGGTCTCGCGGTCATCGCTTAGGCGTGTCGTACGGCGCCTTACAAGTATGAACACTAATTTGTGTGAAGATTTCATGGTGAATATCCGCGGGCAATCTGCCGACTAAAGAACCACGGTTTATGGTTTACGAGGTAAACCATTACCACGTGTGTAATAGGCCTTTACAAGGATTCAGCCCTAGACATTTTCCTAATTCTGGTCATTTTGCTGCGTGTTTAAAGACCCTAATTACCCAAATTATATAATTATATATAAACGTCCCTATTTAATTATGTTTCAAGAAAGTTCAGATTACGTATTATACATTTTTACAATGTGACGCCGTACTAATTATCGCTGTAAAAAGTATAGAAGGCTTTTATGGCCCACAATAGCACTCAACTAATTCACGGTCGTAAGACCTTCAGTCAGAAGAAAATTGAATAAGAACCGTATGGAACTTGAAATAATTGAACTTAAGGTTTTCCACGTTGTTAAAAGCTCTAAAGAAAGCTGTTCGGTCATTGTCAACTGTACCCTTCTCCTGAAATTGTTGACAGCCACTTTAGCTAAAACGAGGGTATCTCCCTTTACGGGCATGTGTTATAATTGGCTTTTTTAAATATGTATATTTGCATAACATAAGACATCCACATAAAATGATATAAAAGTGTAAATCTACTAATATACACTCAATCAAAATCGCATTCTTCGCGATTCCGACAAATTGGAATTTTTTCAAAATTTTTCGACACGTCATCTAGTACACTAATCCTTCTAACTTCTCGAAACAACTCAAGTCGTTTGGTGCAATTTAAAAACAGTTATTCTGTTTTAAAGGGTGTACGGAGACTTTTTTGACTGAGTGTACATTTCACGAATAACGTATCACAGAAGAAAAGAAACAAATGGTTCATGAATGATTGTAGTTGACCATTTACTGTGTGTTACATATTTTGAATAAAGTTGAATTACAATCTAGGAAGGACAAGAATAATTTAAAAGTTGGGGAACAGCATCTAAGACCAGCAGAGATCTGCGACCTTTTGAAAGGAATCGTGGTGATCAGCTGTTGGGCAGTCACATGGAAAGTCGACACCTCTATGATGTACCATTTGGTGAAAAGTCAATCAGTAATAAAATTATACATATTTTATAATATGCTGGAGGTTGGGGATAGATTGTTCAGCTCTTTTGGTCAAGATACAATAGATGCCCTTCTGTGGACAGCCACGGAACCTAGGTCGAAGAGGAAAACTCGTTCTCAGCATTTGGGTACTATACCCCATTTGATGTTCGCTGGTACCTATGTTCGTATCCTTTATATACCTAAATAGAAATCGATAAGTTAATACGCTATCGTTCGTAATTATTTGCTCGTTTACCTTTTTCTCTTTATTCAAAGATCTGATAAATTTTTCAAAAAAACAAATCATATATTGTGGGATTTGGTAATTAACGAATGTCGACACACTTTAGTTGTAAAATATAAAAATAATTAAAGTAGGTTTTCGGTGACTCAGCCTGTATATTCTTTTTTCTAAGACAAGCTACCTGAATAATTCCTATAGTTTTCGAGATAGGAAGAAATGTGTGAAACAAAAGTTGTTTGGCATCGTGGTGGCCATTGCGTGGTGGTGATCTTGAATGGTCACAGTCATCGTCTATTCCCTCCGTATCATTTTAATCTATAAATGCGTACCTACATTTCGAAAATGTAAATTGAAGTGGAAAACTTGGTTTTTGGAGGATTAACTTGTTCATCGCGGATCTAAAATTTAACATTAGAATTTTTTGTGAACCACCCGTTAAAAAAGTTTGGATGAAAATATATTTTCCGATGCAATGTTTTATTTTTAAAGTACTTCACAGTATATTAGTACTTTTCCAAGCAACGACTTTGAACGTAGCGATAAACAGCAGTAACAAGGCATTGCTTACTATAATGATGTCCAATAACGTAAGTCTTTACTGATATTCATTTAACAGCATGTTACTTCGCTTATTAAAAAAGAAATAGCGTAATGAAAATCAATATACAAGGTGAGCCACTTAATCATCTTTTCTAGCTTTCAAAGACTGGATGAAATGTAAGAAAAACTTTGTTTGATGGAAGAAATGATAAAAAATGAAAGGAAGTTTCACATTTGATTTAAAATTTTAAAGTCCAAGGCCATTTTAAGGTTGTTACAGTAGAAAAAAATATATAATACGTTCGTCTAAAGAAATATAGGTGACCTTGAAAGAAACAGAAAAAAATGGCATTTATAGAAAAGAAATTTCCTCCATCTCTTATTCATCCTTCGAAACCATTTAAATTAGGTATAAAAATTTTCCCGTACCGCCACAGCTAGAGAAGGTAATTAGGTGGTCTGTTTTACATGCCCCACCCTGTATAATACAGAAGAATGCAGAAAAAGTGAAGTTTTAATAAGAGCAGAGTAACATAAGCGATAATAAACGGCATGTACTTCTGTTTCAGTTTGTAGAATTGAAAGGTTCCGTATTTAAGAAATTTGACAAAAATAATCTATTTCAACTGTCTTGCGCGGATGTAAGGGAACGTTTTCATTTAATAATGCTTCTTTTTGCTGTAAATCTTCAAACAATGAAAGAATACGCATGGAAAACGGAACGCCTTGCAGACCTTTTACCAGACTGTATAATGCTGCTCTTAGCAGAAGTTCTTGTAGATTGGGTGAGTAAATAAATATACATTTTTACCAAACATAAAAGTTTCCGTGAAGAAAGGAAAAAAAAATCATTTTAAGTTGACGATAATTTAGGGAAATTGCTTGTGGCTTTTGGACCCATATCTACGTCTGTAGTTGTGAAACAATTTGTTCGTCATCCGTTACTATTCGGTCGAATAATAGTTGGTATCGATGGTGAGCAAAAAGCAAAGAGCAAATGTTTGATTGATCCCCAAAATTCTTCTCCCTTACTTCGTGTAGAACCCATCGGTAGTGTAAATACTTGTGTACGAATTTTAGACGATGAGAACGTTCCACACCGAATTTCTCATTTATTACTTTTAAAATTAGAAATGGCTCATCTTACAATATTCTTCGAAGCATTTCAATGCCCATTTGCTAAGCTCTTCCTGAGCGAGGTTCATCTTTCAGATTTAAATTTCTGTCTTTTGATATAGAAGACATGAATATGCTGGTTTTCATACAAAAACAATATCAAGGTTTTTCTTCATAAATATGAAGAACAGTTAAGGGATACAGTACATCAAGATCGAACGCGTTAGAGACTAGACACGCGTGTACACAAATTCATAAATGTTCTGTACACTTTGTACATTTTATCTATCTGTTTTTTCTTCCAGGTAAAGCACGCCTTTATAACTCGTTTCAATGAACTTCGTTCAACAGTGTATAGGGATTATACTATAAGTTTAGCTTACGACATGGCTCAAACTCGTCAGGAGAACGCTTTTTCCGATCCGTCGGACTTGGTTGCCCGTAGAATGGGCTTCATTCCTCTTCCGCTAGGCGTCGCGATTGGAAGAGTGTTTTGCACGACTGTCACGCCATCTGCGAAGCCAGCCAATATAATTTTGTTCCTTTTAGCGTACCTCATTTTAATAGCGTTAAGGATCTTGAATAGTGTGGTGATTCTCGGCAAGGCGTGTGATTTGATTTTGTCACATTCCAAGGAACCCAGCGATTCAACGACGTCCCGGAAACATTCTTCGACTAGCAGCGATATAAAGAATTCGAATTTAGCCACAGCAATGTTTTCCAATAGCGCGGTTAGCCTGAATAACGTTTGCTTGAACGACGCTGTGTTGAAGGAAGAAGTAAATGATGAAAAAGATAACACAGGAAACGTTCAGTAGAGGCAAATTTTTCGTTTTATTTTTATTAATGTATATGTATATAAGTAGTACATTTTTTAAATTGTGGCAACTATGTGTTAGAAAATTTCCGAAAGCACGTAACATGACTTTTTACAGTCAGAAGGGTGGTAGGATTGTGCAGGAGTTGATCCTATGTGCAAAGGTAAATTGAAAATATAGGATACAATTTATGTATACATACTGTGTACACTGTCCGCCAAAAGTTTAAGATCAATTTATGTTTAGCAGTCATTTTTTCATTTTACTTCAAAAGGTCTTTCTTTAAATTTTTAAAATATGGACACGAAGAAAACTCATTTTCGATTTGCGTTGTTTCAGATTGTTTTAGACGTATAAAGTCTAAAACAATTTTCAAAAATGTCAAAATTCAATTAATGCAAAGGCAAAGTATTGATGGGAGTATTTATTCATTAAGTATATACACCACTTCATTGACGAACGTATTTTACGGGAAATTCTTTAGCGAATACAAATTACAAACACCGAAAGTTTCAAACTTATTTCTCACAAGCAAAGAATTATGTGATTAAACATTTCTAGAATTTCTTTTACACCGCATATATGCATAAAAATGCATAAATACAGCCAACTAAATTAAAATTTTGAACGATGAACACTCCAAATCATGATATGTATTGATAATACTTTTTTATTAATAATTTCACAAATTAACGTTCACATCGGGAACGATCTCGACGTTGCTCCATGTGAAGTGGTCAGGCAGTTTGAGCATGGAGCGATATTCGAGCAGTAGGCCACGCCTACTTGAGCGATGATCCTGTGGTGGGGCACTGTAAGAATGTAGTACTGTGTAAAGCCCAGGAGTTTGCGCCTGGAAGGAATGCGGGTCTGATTGGGTCGTATCCCCATATGGCCACGTTCTCAAACACAATCATAAAAATAAGCACACGTATTGTCATTATTGACCGAACGCGATAACATCGACGAATCGGATCATATAACACTGTGTGGCGGAAGACTCAAGCGGTACGAGTTGAAGTACACCTTTTGCCCCTATGCCGTCTCAGTGGCAAACACCTGAGCTCTACACAGTAGCGATCACCCGGCCTAAGAGCGAGAACTATGCTTCAAAGATAGGTACGTGCAAAAAACAGTAACCGATGGTACGAAAAACCTCACGAACGTACTTACCTACAAGCCTACACTCCCACTACTACCGTTGTTCCCCATTCCATTTACGACTGTCGACGTTTTTTGCTCCGGTCGCTGCTACAGCCTCTGTTCAGGGTAAAAAAGAGCCTGAACGGTGCTGGTTTACATTGTAAAATGAATAATGTAGAAAATAATATCTTTGCTGACATACAAATTTGCCAGTTGTAGATTTTAATGCTTTAATTGTTATTTTACACCTGAAAACCTTTTTAAGTGTAAAAAACTTACCATATCCATGAACATACAAGCACAAAAAGAAGCAACAGTTCCTAATGAGATTAAAATTAAAATTATACGGTTAAACGTTTGCCTACACTGCACAATTTTATAACTTGCCTTCAATAAGTTACGAAACATTTTACTCTATATTTTCAGATTATCTTTGCACGTAAAATGACCTTCTGTTACATGCTGTATGTAAATTTTGTTTTTATAGAAACTGTGATGATGAATATTTATTTAGCGCAAATTTCTATAGAAAAATGTTCCAAAAATACGACGATAAGGTTTTAAAAACTGTCATGCAGATTACAGAAGCATGTGATGGTAACTATATGATAATGGTGTATGGTACTAGTATACTAACGTAACAATATAAGTGTATTTGATTGTTTCAATATTTAGGACAATGATCATTCTAGACGCGACAAAGAATTTTTATTTTACTACAGTATCGATATTAAAAGGAAAATAATAGGCAATTAAGGTATTAAATTAATAAGGCTGAATAGCGATTAATTAAGATATCTTGATTAAATCAATAGCGCAATTGAATACTGTTATACAGTTTCATCCTTATGATTTGTATACCATGAAATACAAAAATTTTCTAATTTGAGCAATCATTAATACTTATAGCTAATAGTTAAATACCGTGACCAAAGTGATTTATACAGGTGCGACAAGTATTGTTATGTCATGTCTTTATGCTTGTCAATATACGAACCCAAATAGAATAAAACAACAATCACATTATATTTTTAAACAAACAAATATGAATATAAATAATATGTGTATTTATATATTGTTGATAAAATGTGATTTTCGTTTCTTTTTTGTACACTTTTAATATCTTTTTAGTCTGTTAAGTAAATCTTGTAATACATGACCAAATTAGGACAAACTTGTAGCGTTTATTTCATCGATAAGTAAATAGCCGGTAAATATGTAAAATTTTTGTACTTTAATGAGTAACTTTCAATAACATGAAAATATGAATTATTACGAATATGTTTTATCACAGACGAGGTAGAGAATGGTAGAGAGGTAGACCTGTCCACATAAGACTTTGGGTCTCACGTTCTGAAATACCGACCGTGCAGCAAATTAGAGGTTTGTTGTGCCCTCTACGATTTAGAGTGGTGAGTTTAGGAATTATATTCAATCTAACTACCAAAGATGATAAAATGTAGAATAGGTCAAAGATCCTCTCTTGGTACATCCGTATACAAAAATACATATTGAATTGCGTGGTTAAAACTGTTAATGATCTTGTGAAAGCAGTAGAACACGCGGATGGGATGAATCATCTACGAATGAAAAATTACGTTCTCACATTTTTTATCGCAATATAACGAGAATATTACCAATTTATGAAATTTTGTTAATGAAAATTAGTCTAAATGTAACCTTATTAAAACTGTCTTTAATTACACATAGTATCACTGTAAAATTTATTGTTTATATGATATAGTCTGCAAAATATTGATGATTTCATGAAGATCTAATGAAAACTATAAACATCTGTTACTGAGTTGTTATGCGAGTCCAGAATCTGGGCCTCCTACCTATATTAGTTCGCAAGATAATCTTTCATGGTCCATTCGGACGTTAATTGTCAAATAAATTGTATGCAAAACATTTATATATTCTCATATAAATTTTAAAGAATTGTAATAGTATTTGTTGAGATTTTGAAAAATGTTTTATCTAGACAATAGTAAAATAATTCTCGCGTAATAAAAATAAATTTTTATGTCAAAAGAAAAAAAAAGATGGAGAACATCTATATAAGAATAGATAAAGATTGTTTTAAAATACGCAAGCGACAATTATGAGCATCCAATTAGTCATTGATCGTGGAAAAGTAAAATTTTTATACTTTTCACTGAATCTTCATGAAATTATTACGGGTGGATGGATTGCTAAGATTCTCCCAATAAAAATGAGTTCTAACACGAACTTATTTGAATCATGTTAAATTATATGTAAACTTAAATGACCTTCATATGTTCAAAAGAAGCAATATATGAAAATCATAAATAAATTTTTATTTTCTAGTTATTTAGGTAAGACATTGTACTTAAAAATTTCAAAAAATACTATTTTATTTTTGAAAAATTTTCTCTGTAACATATTAATTTTTAACACACCCATGTTAAATTTAAACGCGGGGACACTACAAAAAGAGCTATAACTTCGGTCAGATCCCGGTCTGGACCTTATCGTTAGAGGTTTAATGAAATAAAGGAGGTGTGTAGTGAGCAACTTATTACAATGTGCCGTTTCATTCATTTATCGAAGTCGCTTATTATTACAATGTAACAATTGCAACAAAAAAAAATCACAATCATACTGTTCATATTTTTTATTAGTCAATTATTTTGACACGTTGAACAAGTTTTATTTACACGTACTAATTTTTGTCAAATTCTTACTTATGCATTTTCGTTCACTTATTGTTCCCGGATCGTATCGTGCACGAGGTAATTCATCTTCATCGTACGTTGGAAGTATAATGTTGTGCACTGGCATTTTGTATCGATCGATCATTTTAGTTACAGGTTGTCGTAAAGTACCCAAATAGTCATTAAGGTAGAAGAATGTTCTGAGTGTCGTAGCCTTTCAAAAATACGTGAAGTAAATCAACAAAAATTAATCGATATAAAAAATGTCTTCTAATAGACTTTTACGAATTAATTAGGATAAATATTTGAACGAATGTTTTGAACGTTAATCAATAGTAATATTTTAATGTTACATTAGGATGCATTTTATTACGTTTTTCTCGGCAATAATTGTAATACACAATTGACATACTATATAACGTAAAAGAACACATAATAAATAAATTAACACATAATAAATAAATAAGAGAACGGTAGTAACGTTTAAATTAGCTTTAATGAAATTTTCAAGTGTAAATTTGATAAGCTTGAATAAAAAGAAATATTTTTTCTACTTATTCGATTATTAGTAATGAATTAATTGACGTTCACGTTGAAAATGTTTAAAACACTCAAGAATAAATTTTTTCCCCATTTAGCAAGCACATGTATAAAATTTTTAAATGTACTCTATCGCGTAGTTGATATATATCTTTTAACAAAAATTAATTTTTATACACATACGTGTTGTGTATTATAACTTACTCTACCGTAAAATTCAAATTCCTTTAATTTAGCCTTTAAATCTCCTGTCCACAATTCCATATGTTCATGGAACACTTTATCTGCTTTAAGTCTCGCGTTGTCCGTTTTCTTTAAATATTCCATGTGATGTTCCATGTTATTTTCCAACTTTTTAACGAGTGACTTAACTTCTGTGATCATACTGGAAAAATTTGACGCCGCTAAAATCAAATCTTTTTCTGAAAGTGGAAGATCCATTTTCTTCGAATTTTCATGTTTCACCTTTAAAACGAAAAGTATTTTACCTCTTAAGATAATACTTCGAAGAGAATACTATGCTACGATAATTTTTTCCCTAATATTAAAACTAAATATCGTAGGATTTAATTAAGATGTATATATTGTAATATTGGTATTAACGATTAACATAAAGTGAATTGAAAAATTCATGAAATTCATACGTATCGTGTATGTCAATCTTTCTAAAATATTTGTGCACAGAAAGTATGATAATTTTGTATTGTTTATTTTATGCCGTATTTTGCACCCACTTTAGCGAAATTAGTATATCCATGTAACTTCGGGTGCGTTTGATTTTTTACTATGTAGAGAAATGTTTAAAACGATTAACGGAATAGTCCAAATATATACGTGCTATTTTATCGCTTAA